CACCTATTCTGAAGAATAATCCCTCCATCTGTTCCCCACTCCCTTACATATCATGTACATGCTCACACTGATGTGCTCGTGATGGACCCCCTGCTGCCTTCACAGTCTCCTTCAGACTTCATCATTGTCAAATCTCTTATTTTCTCAACTCCAAGTAACGCCCCCAACTCCTTTTCTAGGCTCCTTTTTATCCTTAACGCCTTTCCCTTCCCCTGGCCTGAAGGAGAAATGGTAAGAAGTGGGCATAAAGAGGAGGAAAGGGAATGTTCTCAAACTGGGAAAAAGGGAAGTCAGTACTTTACTTTGGAAGACATTTTTTGAGGCGTAGGTTAGGGACATCTCCGCCTTACCTTGCCTGGCCTCTTCTCCAGGGCCGCCCAGTATGCCTGCTCCCTTCTTGGCCATGCACTACAGAAACATGGGGCCAGTCCCGAGTTACAGAAACAAATTCGACAACTGGAGGGTCATCTGAGCCTAGGAAGGAAGCGTAAGTAACCGTACTTTTGCTTTATTACTCCAACACTTTCTCCATCCCCAGCTATTCTCCTTTAGTCCTTCCTTCCTGTTCTTGACCTCTCTGCCAGTTCTTCCCCCTTATTTGGCTCTGCATGCCTCTTGATTGAGATAAGAGAGCAGGGGTAAGAGACTAATGAAGGATTGGAGAGTATGGGGCAAGTTTGAGAAAACCAAACTGGGACACAAATTAACTAAAATTTGAAGAAAAAAAAATTTTGAACTGTTTTTCTTCCTTTTTTAAAAAATTGTAATTATTGTTTCTGTCACTTGCTTGACTTTCACCTTCTTGCTTCCTCTTTCTCTGTGTCTCACTCTCTGCCTCTACTTCCAAATCCTTGCTTCTCCTTGCTAATCTCCACAAGTTCTACGCCTGGGTAACTCAGCAGATGCCCTTGAGTCAGCCAAACGAGCTGTGCACTTATCAGATGTTGTCCTGAGATTCTGCATCACTGTTAGTCACCTCAATCGAGCCTTGTACTTCGCCTGTGACAATGTCCTGTGGGCTGGAAAATCTGGACTAGCCCCCCGTGTGGATCAGGAGAAGTGGGCCCAGCGTTCATTCAGGTTTGATATCCTTTTATCCTACAAGACCTTTTGTATTTCCCATACTGCATGGCTTGCCTTTTATGAGCAAAAGATCTTTCAGGGTCTTCCCAGAATATACACATCTTTATCACTTGGCTTCCAATCTTCATTTAGATTTTAAACTATCAGAGAATAGTGAATGGAGGCAGATGGAAGATAGATGTTCTTCTATGATGAATGACTAAGATTGGGCAAGATAAGATATTATATTGCTTAAATCTGTTTCTGTCTGTACCACAGGTTATGCCTCTCACTGCCTGCTCATTCATTCATTCTAAAAATATTGAGGAGGTGTTTACTATGGGCTAGGGAATAAAGCAAAGAGTCAGATATGGTTCCCATTCTCACTAAGCTTCTAGTCTAGTGGGGGCGTCATATTAAGACAACCACCAAACCAGTTATTTGTAGAAATGTACAGGGTGTTATGAGATATATCACAAAGGGAGCTGATTTTGACTGAAAAGTCAGGGAAGAACTCTTTGAGAAGTAATGTTTTAGTTCAGATTTGAAGTCGGAAAAGAAGTTAGGCAAAGTAAACAGTAGCAGAGAAGACCTTCTCAAACAGAAAATAGCCCATTCTAAGACTTTAAACCAAGAAAGATTTTGTGGAATTAGAGAAATAGAAAGAAAGTCAGCATGATGGAGAGTATTGACTGAAGGGCATAAGTTTGAACTGGAGATGTGGAGGGGACCAGATCACATGCAAGGCCTCTTTGGCAATGGTAGGATTTTTGGTTTAGTTTTGTTTAAATTTTATCCTAAGTACAATGGGTTCTGAACAGGGATGTGACATGATTCGAACTGTGTTTAAAGAAGATCTCTCTTGCTGCAGCGGAAAATGAATTGTGGTAGGGCAAAAGAGGAGGAGATGCCCTAATATGTCCAAGAGATGATGTTGCTTAGACTAAGGCGCCACCCAGGAGCCCCTAGGTTTCATTTTAAATGGGATAGGAAGGAAGCCATGGTGAGTTTTAAGAAGGGGAGTAATGATGTGATTTACTATGTGAAATTAAATTGTTGGGGGCAGGGGGCAAGGGAAGACCATTTAACAATGACTAAAGTAGTAGTTCAAGCAAGAGGCGCTGGTGGCTGAGACTGCTGGTGGGGTGTAAGAGAGAGAGATGTGATTGGATTCAGGATGTGTTTTGGAGGTAGGACAATTACATTGAGTACAGACCACTATTGTCAGAGTGAACATAGACTCTTGGGGCGCCTGGGTGGCTCAGTCAATTGAGCATCTGGCTCTTGGTTTCTGCTGAGGTCACCATCTCATGGTCGATCGGTTGGTTGTAGGATCGAGCCCCGTTTTCCCCCGGCCTCAAGCTCTGTGCTCAATGCTCAGTGGGAGTCTGCTTCAGGTTTTTTCTCCCTCTGCCGCTGCCCCTCCCCACTCATGCTCTATTTCTTAAATAAATAAATAAATAAAATCTTAAAAAAAAACCACACACAAACCGTAGACTGTTCATTGGTTTGTTTGTTTTTTTAAAGATTTTATTTATTTATTTGACAGGGAGAGACACAGCGAGAGAGGGAACACAAGCAGGGGGAGTGGGAGAGAGAGAAGCAGGCTTCCCACGGAGCAGGGAGCCCGATGCGAGGCTCGATGCGAGGCTCGATCGCAGGACCCTGGGATCATGACCTGAGCCGAAGGCAGACGCTTAATGACTGAGCCACCCAGGTGCCCCTGTTTGTTTGTTTTTTAAGAAGGCTGCAATGTAGGCCTGAACCCAGGACCCTGAGATCAAGACCTAAGCTGAGACCAAGAGTTTGATGCTTAACCGACTGAGCCACCCAGGCGCCCCTGTTTTTTGGTTTTTTTTTTAAAGATTTATTTATATATTTATTTGTCAGAGACAGAGCACAGAAGCAGGGGGAGTGGCAGGGAGAGGGAGAAGCAAACTCCCTGTTGAGCAAGGAGTGCGATGCGGGACTCCATCCCAAGATGCTGGGATCATGACCTGAGCCGAAGGCAGACATTTAACCAACTGAGCCACCCAGGCGTCCCTGTTTGTTTGTTTTTTAAGTAATTTCTGCACCCAACATGGGGCTCAAACTCACGACCCCAAGATGAAGAGTAGCTTTACTGACTGAGCTAGCCAGGAGCCCCAAACATAGACTGTTCTTAAGGAATTGATAAATCTAACACATTTAGCAAGTTGCTTAACACTTCTGGGCCTCGCTTTTTGTTTTTGTTTGTTTGTTTTAACAAAAGGATGGGATTTAAAAGATCTATAATGTCTCTGAGTCTCTCAAACAACTGAAGCTTGTTCTCTGAAAACATTTGCATTATTATAGTTCAAGTTGAATGTGTGTGTATGTGTGCTAATGGTTTGCCAAGTGGACAAGTGAAATTTGAGGGTGTCTTGGAAGGTTTGATGATGCTCATGACTTTAAGCCAGGATCTTAAGGTACATGTAAACACAGATTAGTTACAGAAAGCTGGGAAGACATTCCTAATAGTGGGTAATAGCACTTACTGCTGGTGTTCTTACATATAATTTGCACTTTGCACTGTGAGGGAAAAAATGTTTAAGTATTCTGTTTGATATGCTAAGTGGCTATCTGTGCCCTTACTGACTCTTCTGGCCTGTTTATCCCAGGTACTATCTGTTTTCCCTCATCATGAATTTGAGCCGTGATGCGTATGAGGTTCGCCTACTGATGGAGCAAGAGTCTTCAGCTTGTAGCCGGCGACTGAAGGGTTCCGGAGGAGGAGCCCCAGGAGGAGTTGAAACTGCAGGACCTGGAGGTCCAGGAACTCCAGGAAGAGGCTTGCCTCAACTGGCTCTCAAGCTTCAGCTCCGAGTCCTGCTCTTGGCTCGGGTCCTCCGAGGTCATCCCCCACTTCTGCTGGATGTGGTCAGAAATGCCTGTGATCTTTTCATTCCACTGGACAAACTAGGCCTCTGGCGCTGTGGCCCTGGGATTGTGGGCCTTTGTGGCCTCGTGTCCTCTATCCTGTCTATTCTTACTCTAATCTGCCCTTGGCTACGACTCAAGCCCTGATATTCTGGTACAGGATAAGGAGGGGATCTGAATTGGTAAGATGGAATCTTAGATCATCCCCAATGTACCAGCCTCATTCTAATTCTACTCCTTGGTTAAAGTTAAAATCCCAAGAGTTCGGGGTAGAGGGAGGAGCTTTGGGGAAGGTGAGGTGAAGAGAGGTGACTTGTGAAGTCAACGGGATGATTCTGATGTTCAGATCTTCTGGGGCTTTTGCTTTTTCCTCCTTCATTGCAATGTCTATGTCTCTCTTGACCCCTTTTACTTTGTGTTTCTTGAGTCTATTTAAGATTCTGTCTCTGCATCTTTTTTTTACCCTCTCAATTTGCTGTCCTAGGAATTTAATCAGCAGAATTACTTTTTTGGTAGGGGAGGTAGAAGGTGTGGTCTGTAAGGTTCTAACTGCCTTCTTCTTTTTCCTCACAAAGGTGACTTGTGGCAGATTTTACCCCCTTCAAATGCCACCAAAGCATAACTTTAGAGACTTCATGTCCCAGTGGATTCTCCCCTCATGCACCAGAGGTGGTTTGCTACTTCCTCCTTCATGTCTACCTCACCAGCCTCCCTCATGACTTGGCCCTTCCCTCTACTCACACCTGCAGATTTCTGCTTACACTTTTATTTCAGGGCTTTGTTCCCTAGCCTGTTCTCACCCCTTCTTTGCCTATCCAGAAGGATGCTGTGTCTAGCATCTTGCTGTAAATACTGTACAGTGATTCTGTGTAAATAGCTGTGGGCGTGCCCACAATGGGGAGCAAGCCTTCAGGTCAGCACATTAAAGGTCCGTTTGCTCATCAGTGTTTGGTCTGGTCCCATGTGTTCTGGTCATCTGAGGTCTCTAATTCCTGGTACTGTGGTTTGGGTTTTCCATGGGATTAGGCACTAGCGTCATCACCCGCAGACTTTTACTGAACACCTACACTCTGCAGGGCATAATACTAAGAGGTAGAGATACAAAAAGCTAAGAAGCTCTATGGTCCCGACTTTAGAAGTTTATAGCCTCGTTAAGAAGAGGGGGTCTAATATTACAGTAATTATGCTGGTTCCACAACCCACACCCCATACCAGTTCATAGTTTCTAGTCCCTCCAAAAGCTATAATGCCACAAGGCAACATAGGCTGAGTCACAGACAGAACTAAGTGAAGTGCGACTGGCAAGGTTTGGTTTGTGGGCTGGCTGTGCTCACATGTTGGGACTCCCCTGGGTGGGAGGGGAATTGATATCACTGTCACCAGCTCTTTCATTTTCCATATCCCAGGGTGAGATAAATAAGGTTAAGAAGTAAAAAGTCTCTGTCTCCCATGTCTACCATCTATTCCAAACCTGAGGAAAGCATGAACTGCCTGGCAACAACAAAGGATAGAAAAAAAGGAAGAGAAAGAAACTGCAGAAGTCAAGACTTGGGTTCTTTGGATATTGAGATGATGCCTCCAGGGGGCAGCACCAGGGCAGAGAAATAGGCTAAAATCGCTCAGTCCTCCTTTCCTTGGTCTGGGGCTCCCCGGAGTTCCCACCATCACTCCTCCCATTTTATTTTTAGCTGCCAGTGGGAGGGGGCAGGATGGGAGGGAAAGTAAAGAAAACAGAAAAGGAGAGGGACAGAGGCACAGAGAACTTCTCACACGGACAGAGAACAAGCAGGCATGAAGCTTGCCCTCATCCCTCACCTGCTCTTGCCCATCATGTTCCTGACAGGTGAGGGGGGTTAACTTCTTGGTTCCTGGTGGGGAAGGAAGGTGTATGGGTTGTTTGGCATCGAGACCTTTAGGGTTAAAATCTTCGGAGTTAGGGTGAGAAGTTAACACTGATTCCGTGTGTCGTGTGTGTATGTGTGTGTTTGTGTGTGTGTGCATGTTTTCATTCTTATGCCCACACATACGAGGGCTTCGGGATTGAGACGGGCAGGGCCTTGGGTCAGATTTGCGTCCCATTATCTAAAATCTTTATCCTAAGCCCTGGAGGAGTGAGTGGATCAAAAAGAAATATGACGTGACCTTCCACGTGGCTAGTCTGATTCCTCTTATTCTCCTCCCAACTTCCTTCTACCCTTGGGGGTCTCTGGAGCCCGAGGCATACCTGACTGTGTGGTGAGAACTCAGTTTATCTAACCAATGAGCTCCAGTTGCTGGTCATACAGCCCTGCCAGTTTCCTGGATGCAAAAAGGCTCACATAGAAAACACCTTTCTGAGAAGGAACGTGGTTTGAGACAGAGCTTATAGCCATTGGTGGCGGGGGTGGTGGAGGTGGCCTGAGAGGGGGTTGCTTAAAGGAGAGAGCAAGACAGGGAAGAACCATGGGAGGGACCAGAGGCTTGGAATTTTTCCTCACCAGTGCCCTGTAATCTTTGTTTCCTAAAATACCTGCTCTGATTTCTTAACATTTTTTAAATTTAATTTTATTTTTAAGTAAATTCTGTGCCCAACATGGGGCTTGAACTCATGACCCTGAGGTCAAGAATAGCATGCTCTCCTGACTGAGCCAGCCAGGTACCCCATACCAGCTCTGATTTTAAAGGGCTTGTGGTTGGTGGTGGTGGGGGTGAGACTCAGACAGGACAAGAGTAGGGGGTGTCTTTAGAGTGGGCTGAAAGTTAAGGAAGAAAGGCAGGTAAGCAGGGGGCAGTTGGGAGGGTGGATGAGTTAGAAAAGAAGTGGGTTGTGGGAAACCTTGGGGTGATGGTACCCTTGGTAAGGATGGTTGGCAAACCATGTGTGTGGGCAGGCAAGTGGCCCCACCCAGTTAATTACCACTGAGGTTTTCAGGGCTGGAATCATGCAGGGACTTAGACAGTGGAGAAGAAGATTGAGAGTGTGACCGTGACACTGGGAGTCATGAAGAGACAGAAAGAGGAGAGACCAGGCAGTACTCACTAGCCTCTTGTCCTCCCTGAGGTCCTGCGTTTGGGGAGAATCTGGAAGGGACAGTTGTTCTGGGCTGCAGAAAGGCCCTCTCCCTCTTTGAGTCTTGCAGCTTCTGGGGGAGGATGTGTAGGAGGAATGATGTGGACAAGAGGAACCTGACCCTTCCAGACATGTCTGTGAATGAGATTGCAGGGGTGGGAATGGAAATACAGCTGTGCACCAGCATGGCAGAGGGCCACAGGTTAGGTAGCTGGACTGAAACACAGGAAGAAGACCATCCTTGCTTGGAGCTCTGAGTACATGGGTAAGAAACAGGGAGATAGACTGAGATCAAAATGTTCCCTTCGTGCTTCCTCTCTGGTTGTACCTCTCTGGGCATTCATTAGCCTCTCTGACCGCTTCCTCCTATCCTTATGACTCTGCCCCCCAGGTCTGTGCTCCCCCTTTAATCTGGATGTGCATCACCCACGCCTATTCCCAGGGCCACCCGAGGCTGAATTTGGATATAGTGTCTTACAACATGTCGGGGGTGGACGTCGATGGTGAGGAGGAAACCAGAGGGCCATGGGATTGGGACTGTGGTGGAGCTCTTAAAAGGGAGGCAAGGCAGATGGGAATCTAAGTGACTCTGGTCTTTTGGAAGTGGCTGGGATACGGGACTTGCTACCCCCATGCATTTTCCCTCTGGCCTATCTCAAAGGTCATGTTCACACAATGCTTATACTCATGTCCTTCTCCCAGGATGCTGGTGGGTGCCCCCTGGGATGGGCCTTCAGGTGACAGAAGAGGGGACGTTTATCGCTGCCCTGTAGGGGGTTCCCACAGTGCTCCATGTGCCAAAGGCCACTTGGGTAAGAAGATGCCTCACTCTTCCACTCCTAACCCCTAACCTGATATGCTAGTAGCCACCTCACCTTCACCCCCATATCCTACATACTCCCTTGTCTTTGACTTGACCCTGATCTCATCCTCTTTCCAAATCACCCTAAATTCAAGAAGCTCATGTGTGACCCCATGATCTCATTCTCTCCCACCCCCTTCCAACCAGGTGACTATCCCCTGGGAAATTCATCTCATCCTGCTGTGAATATGCACCTGGGAATGTCTCTACTAGAGACAGACAATGATGGGGGATTCATGGTGAGCTAAGGAAAGGGTGGTGACGGGGTCTCTGACGGATTTTGGCAGAGAGAAGAGTAGTATGGTAAAGGAAACTGGTCTATGTGAAGGGGTCAAGGTCAAGAAGTTTAAAACCCTAGAAAGCAAAGAGGGGAATCCCAGGTTTCAGTGCCTCTTGGACTAGGGGCAAGTGTTGAGAGTGCACTCCCAAGCCCTGGGGGTAATACTTCTCCTGCCCCTCCCTAGGCTTGTGCCCCTCTCTGGTCTCATGCTTGTGGCTCATCTGTCTTCAGTTCTGGAATATGTGCCCGTGTAGATGCTTCATTCCGGCCCCAGGGAAGCCTGGCACCCACCGCACAACGTGAGCCAGAAGAAGGGCCTGAGGACTCAGTCCCCAGAACTGGGTGCAGGGTGGGAAAAAGATGGGGCAACAGGGTATGATGCTGGACAGGGGGCCTGCATACCTTTCCTCATTGTTACCGAAAGTGCCTGCAAAAGTTCCATGTTTCCTAACAGATTAGAATTCAGACTCTTTGCCAGGGCATCAAGGCTCCATGAACTATTCTAACCAACTTCAAAAACTCAACTCTCACTCTACCCCTCCATGCACTGTGCCTTGGCCATGGCCTTTCCCTCCCCATTCTCCTCTTTGTCATCTATTTTTATACCTCCTTGTCCTTTTATTTAAAGCGTTCTCCATGCAAATGTCTTTTCTTATATTCTCCTCTCCTCAAACATCTTCTATTGCCTCCTCCTTTGATTCCCTACTCTCAGAACTGACCCTCTGTTGTCCTACAGCAGAGTGGTGCTCTGTTTCTCCCTAGCACTCAGTTCCTCCTCTTCCTCCTCTCTTCTTCTCCTTCTTCTTCCTCTTCTTCTCCCTCTTCTCCTCCTTCTTCTTGTAAATTATATGCATGCCCATCTCCTCTTTTACTCATTTCTACATTGACCCAGGGCCGGGCATACTACCTTCCTTGCATGTTCAGAAGGGCCTAAAACGTGTTTGGATGGAATGTACCCTCCTGTGACCTCTTCCCTTGTTGTCCCCATGTCCAATATCCTTCTACCCCTCTGTTCCTCATCAGCATCCCCCTCCTCCTAGGCTGTCCCACCTACATGGATGTTGTCATTGTCTTGGATGGCTCCAATAGCATCTACCCATGGTCTGAAGTTCAGACTTTCCTACGAAGACTGGTAGGGAGACTGTTTATTGACCCAGAGCAGATACAGGTAAGAGAAGGCAATATGGCTGGGCTTGTAAGGGGGAGAGATGGCAGGGAGAGAGTGGTGATGAGGTGAATGTAGGTCATGTCTTCAGTAGTATCCCTGCCCTCACATACTGTCTTCTCCCTCAGTACATGCATTCCATGTGAGCGCATGCTTTGTTCTCAGGTGGGACTGGTACAGTATGGGGAGAGCCCTGTGCATGAGTGGTCCCTGGGAGATTTCCAAACAAAGGAAGAAGTGGTGAGGGCAGCGAGGAACCTGAGTCGGCGAGAGGGACGAGAAACAAAGACTGCCCAAGCAATCCTGGTGGCCTGGTGAGGCATTGGGAAGGGGAGCCTGGGAGGCCAAAGCCAGAGTGAGGAGGGCCAAGAAGGGTTAGGGAGGGTCTGGAGTACAGTGCGTCCACCCCAAGATGTCCGGCATGCTTTCCTTTGTGTGCCCACTGGTGGTTGGGGAAGGCTAAGCTGGCTGTCTTTGCACATCTCATCACATTCTCATCACATTCTTCAAAGTGTCTATGTCTGCGTCTTTCCACGTTTCTGACTGATTTATCTCTGTAGACAGAACGCTCTCTATCCCTGCACTCTCACTTCGATCTTGGCCTTCAGGTTCTTCACCACTCATGTCCTAGCCCGCTTGCCAAACGTGATTCAGAACTCATCTCTGGGACGACTCCCCTGTCCCGCCCCCCTCCTTGATTTTACACTTCTCTGAATATGTGTCTTTTCCCCAGTGCAATGTTTGCTGAATGAATCTACGAGCAAATGGATTTTATACTTATTTGCCTGAGGATATGCTGCTCTATATGTTCTATGTCATTCAAACATTTTAGCCCTTACTGTGTGCAGTCTCCGTGCCAGACACTGTCAGGGAAATGGAGTAAAAGGGGAGATGCCTGACCTTGGTGAACTGTGACAGTGGGGTGGGTGTGTGTGTATCTGTATACACGTGATCACACCTCACTCCTTTCTCTCTCTTCTCAGCACAGAAGGATTCAGTCCGTCCCATGGAGGCCGACCAGAGGCTGCTAGGCTGCTGGTGGTTGTCACTGACGGAGAGTCACATGATGGGGAGGAGCTTCCTGCAGCACTCAAGGCCTGTGAGGCTGGAAGAGTGACCCGCTATGGGATCGCGGTGAGAATCTCCTCTGGGTCTGGCGGGATGGAGGGGGGATGGTGACATTGAGGACTGGGAACTTGAAGAGAATGGGCATTAACCACTTCCCAAAGATCGGCCGTATTGCCCTTCCTTCACTTTAGTTGGCCTGCTCTAACATCCCACGCCGCATAGCTAACTGACCCCACCTGGGTCTCCTGACCCCAGGTCCTTGGCCACTACCTCCGGAGGCAGCGAGACCCCACCTCTTTCCTGCGGGAAATCAGGATGATTGCCAGTGATCCAGATGAGAGATTCTTCTTCAATGTCACAGATGAAGCTGCGCTGACTGACATCGTGGATGCACTAGGAGACCGGATCTTTGGCCTTGAGGGTAATGACTACCCTGAAGAAATGGAGGACAGAAAAGGGGGGGTTCAGGGTGTAGGTGGGGTTCTGTGGTGAGCTCTTCCCTGATTCTGCTTTGATATTTTCTCGTGCTCAGGGTCCCATGGAGAAAACGAAAGCTCTTTTGGGCTGGAAATGTCTCAGATTGGTTTCTCTACTCATCGGCTAAAGGTTGGACAGACTCTGACCCCTCTGTGACCCCCCTCAACATCTGACTCCTCCCAACCTGAGACTCAGGCAACTTCAACCCAGGGCTCTTCTAGATTCCTCCTTTAACCAGTGTCCATGCTGACCTTCCCATGCCTTTCCAAGTGACCCCAGCATACTCTTAGTGACCTTCTCACTCCTGGGGTTTTTACTCCTCATTTCCTGTTGTCTTTTCAAGTGACCCCATCTGTTTCTGCCAAACAGGATGGGATTCTCTTTGGAATGGTGGGGGCCTATGACTGGGGGGGCTCCGTGTTATGGCTTGAAGAAGGTCACCACCTTTTCCCCCCACGGACAGCCTTGGAAGATGAGTTCCCCCCTGCTTTGCAGAACCACGCAGCCTACTTGGGTGAGTTGCAGAGGGTTGCAGGGGATGATGTGGTGAGGAGGAAATGTTTCACCAATGGAGGGTGTGAGAGCAGTTTCTCACTGATCTGCTACTTTCCTTGGGACCTGCTCCTGTGCCTTTAGGGAACCCTCTTACTCTGACCCCATCTTTTTTCCCTTTCACCCCTGATTCCCTGCCCATTTCTAGGTTACTCTGTTTCCTCCATGCTTTTGTGGGGTGGACGCCGCCTCTTTCTCTCAGGGGCTCCTCGGTTTAGACATAGAGGAAAGGTCATCGCCTTCCAGCTTAAGGAAGATGGGGCTGTGAGGGTTGCCCAGAGCCTCCAGGGGGAGCAGGTAGGGCATGCAAGGGAGGGTGGGACCTTGGATCCTGAGGGACCTTCAGGCTGTGGGGGAGGAAAGGGAAGAGCCAAGAGTGGAGCCTGAAAAGTCTTTGCTGAATTCTGACTAGCGGAGTCCGTCAGGGGTGTGAGGATCAGACTGGCAGGCTGGCGGGTACTTCTCACTTGTCCACAATCACCTTGTCTTTTCTCTGGGGTCCCACTCCCCACCACTCCCCAGATTGGCTCCTACTTTGGCAGTGAGCTCTGCCCGTTGGATACGGATGGGGACGGAATAACGGATGTCTTACTTGTGGCCGCCCCCATGTTCCTGGGGCCCCAGAACAAGGAGACGGGGCGGGTTTATGTGTATCTGGTGGGTCAGGTGAGACTCGCTGGCTCCCCTTGAACTTGTCTGTGGGGGGTGGAGGGAAGAAGGAAGGGAAGGCGCATCCATTCACCCATTCACGGGCTGGCTGAGAGGTTGGGACTGCTGGCTCAGCGTCTTCTGTCTTCTCCCTCCACCAGCAGTCCTTGCTGACACTCCAGGGAACACTTCAGCCGGAACCCCCCCAGGATGCTCGGTTTGGCTTTGCCATGGGTGCCCTTCCTGATCTGAACCAAGATGGTTTTGCTGATGTGGCCGTGGGGGCACCCCTGGAGGATGGGCACCACGGAGCACTGTACCTGTATCATGGCACCCGGAGCGGGCTCAGGCCCCAGCCCGCCCAGGTCAGGAGTGTCCGGATAAAGCAGGGGCATGGGTGGGAGGAAGGGGAAGGGGGGTGTGCTCCTTTTTCGTCATTGTTTCCCTGACCTGGAGACCTAAACTGGACAAGTGCTCTTTTATCAGTAGTCAAAAAGGTGAGGTGGTAGGGTAGGATGCGGGTTGTTGTACTAGGGACTCCTAGACACAGGCCAGTTTCTTTTATTCCTTCTTATTCTCTCCCTCTTTTTAAAGATTTTATTTATTTGAGACAGAGAGTGCACAAGCCAGGGGGAGAGGCAGAGGGAGAAGCAGACTGCCCCCCTGAGCAGGGAGCCCAATGTGGGGCTCGATCCCAGGACCCTGGGATCAGGACCTGAGCCGAAGGCAGATGCTTAACTGACTGAGCCACCCAGGCACCCCCTTTCTTATTCTCTTACTCCTTATTGTGAGTGTACCGGGTGGGCGGCCTGGGTCACCAGGTGTGAGAGTCCCAGCTCAGTCTCCCCTCTCTTCCGCTCAGAGGATTGCTGCCGTCTCCATGCCACAGGCCCTCAGCTACTTTGGCCGGAGTGTGGACGGCCGGCTGGATCTGGATGGAGATGACCTGGTAGATGTGGCTGTGGGTGCCCAGGGGGCAGCCGTCCTGCTCAGGTGAGCCGCGCCAGCTCAGAAGGCGGTGGGCAGTGTGGTGCAGCTGTGAAAAGCAAGGGCTTGGGAGTCACAGACTTAGATTTGGATTTCTTTCTTTTTTTTTTTTTTAAGATTTTATTTATTTGAGAGAGAGAGCAAGAGAGAGCACAAGCCGGGGGAGGGGCAGAGGGAGAGAGAGGAGCAGGCTCCTGCTGGGATCATGACCTGAGCTGAAGGCAGAGGCTTAACCAACTGAGCCGCCCAGGCGTCCCTAGATTTGGATTTCTTGACCAACTTGCTCTGTTCCTCCATTTCCTAGTTTTTTTTTTTTTTTTTTTTAAAGATTTTATTTATTTATTTGAGAGAGAGAGAGAGAATGAGAGAGACAGAGCATGAGAGGGGGGAGGGTCAGAGGGAGAAGCAGACTCCCCGCCGAGCAGGGAGCCCGATGCGGGACTCGATCCTGGGACTCCAGGATCATGACCCGAGCCGAAGGCAGTCGCCTAACCAACTGAGCCACCCAGGTGCCCCATTTCCTAGTTTTTAAAAATGGGAATAATCATAGTGCCTGCCTCATAGGCTTGTTGTGAGGATTCAATGCCACAATCGGGTAAAGATCTTGACGCAGTGCCTAGCACATGGCAAGTACTTCTTCAATGTCAGCTATTATCTTTCTGCCAGAAGGTTCCGGAGAGGGTGACACGCGTACATTTAGCCCCTCGTTCTTGCCTTTGACCTCTGGGAGGCCAACACTGGGGACTGCCTTCTTCAAAGGGCTTTCTTTCCTCTTACTGCTAGAATTTCTTTCCCACCCTGCTCCCAGCTCCCGGCCCATTGTCCACCTGGCCCCCTCACTGGAGGTGACCCCACCAGCCATCAGTGTGGTTCAGAGGGACTGCAGTCGGCGAGGCCAGGAGGCAGCCTGCCTATCTGCCGCCCTTTGCTTCCAAGTGACCTCGCGCACCCCTGGCCGCTGGGATCGTCGATTCTGTGAGTGACCGGAGCGGCCTAAGCAACTCTCAACCCCGCCGGCCTCTGTCTCTGGACCGCCCTTCACCCTCGCTCCTGCCTGCCCCGTCCAGATTTGCGGTTTACAGCATCCCTGGATGAGTGGACGGCGGGGGCACGTGCTGCGTTTGATGGCTCTGGCCAGAGGCTGTCCCCTCGGAGGCTCCGGCTCAGCACCGGGAATGTCACTTGTGAGGCGCTACACTTCCATGTGCTGGTGAGGAGGAGCAGTAAGTGCTTTGCATCAGGGCCTGGGAGCGAGGGGAAGGCGGATTGGAGGACGAACTCCCGCTGGATTGGCAAAAAAGCCGAAGCTGAAGGTGGGAAAGCCAGGAAGGTCAGCGTCTGGGGGCAGGCTGATCTGGGTTTGAAGCCCAGCTCCGCCGTTTGCCGCTTGTCAACTCTGACAAGCCGCACAACCTGCATGCCTCAGGTTCCTTGCCTAAAAGGAGGAGATACTAATAATAGCTACATCATGGGAGTTGTGTTAGAATTCAATGTAATGGTATTGATAAAACCTTAGGACAGTACCCAGCACATAGAAGGTGCTCGGTACATGATCACTATAATCTTCCCATTCTGCCAGGGGCCTGGGCTGTACCCCTAACCCAGGCTCCCCATGATCCTTGACTCTGGTTTTCCTCAGGATACCTCAGATTACCTCCGGCCCCTGGCCTTGACTGTGACCTTTGCATTGGACAACACCACAAAGCCAGGGCCTGTGCTGGATGAAGGCTCACCTACCTCCATACAAAAGCTGGTCAGCGGTGCCAAGCCCTGCCCTGCCCCTAGGTCCCAACACTGTCCTCAGTGAATTCGAGGACATGGAGGGTGGGCACCTGATATCACAGCGAAATCTGACCTGGGCATCCACTCTTCTCTTTTCACTTTTCCCCTAATTCCATCCCTTTCTCCTTGCCTTCCTATCGGGCCCTCAGCCCCTTCTTTCCCCTCTAGGTCCCCTTCTCGAAGGATTGTGGCCCTGACAATGAATGTGTTACAGACCTGGTGCTTCGAGCTAATATGGACATCAAAGGCTCCAGGTGGGACAGACATGAACTAGCCAAACCAGGGTGACCTGAGACCACTGGAAGGAACTTGAAGGGAGCTGGAGGGTTGTTTCTTGCCCAGGAAAGCAGAAGTGATGCTTCTGGGAGCTTTTTCAATTCCTGGGCTCTCCCTTCTCCGCCACTCCTAGGAAGGACCCGTTCGTGGTTCGAGGAGGTCGGCAGAAAGTGTTGGTGTCAGCAACTCTGGAGAACAGGAAGGAAAATGCCTACAACACTAGCCTGAGTCTCAGCTTCTCTAGAAACCTCCACCTGGCCAGTTTCACGCCTCAGGTGCCTGGGGGGCGGGGTGGGGGTGGAGGTTTGGGAGGAGTCAGGGCAGGAGGAGGAAGAAGATTGGGGCATTGGCCTCGGCTGTGAAGGGCTCTAGAGAAAGGCTCAGTGTTTCGAGGCTGCGGGCAGGAGAGCACTTGCAGCTTCAGCTCCAGCCCCCACCCCCTTCCTCTGCTCTCAGAGGGACAGCCCAGTGAAGGTGGAATGCACCGCCCCTTCGCCTCATGTCCGGCTCTGCAGTGTGGGGCACCCTGTCTTTCAGACCAGAGCCCAGGTGAGTGGGGGCCCAGCATGAGAAAGCAGCTTTGAGAGAGCAGGGACTGGAAACTGCGGGGCCTGGGAGTTTAGGGAAGGAGGTACACAACAGCTCCTGAAGAGGAAGATTCCATGACCCCATATGACCCCAGGTGACCTTCCTGCTGGAGTTTGAGTTTAGCTGCTCTTCGCTCCTGAGCCAGGTCCTTGTGAGGCTGACTGCCACCAGGTGAGAACAAAGGGAGCATCCCCCCCAGGCCTCTCCCATTGGGTCTTGTCGGGGAAGGGTTGTCTGAGAGGGGGCTGGGACGTGAGCCTCTCCCCCTGACCCTACAGCAATAGCCTGGAGAGAAATGGGACCCTTCAAGATAACACAGTCCAGACCTCAGCCTACATTCAATATGAGCCCCACCTCCTATTCTCCAGGTATGGCTCACCTCCCCGCCAAGACCCCGTTCTGACCCCAGACTCATACTCTATGTTTCCTCCCTTTCCTTCCACGTGTTTCCCCCAAACCCTTGGGGCTGCTCCATCTTTTTGCCCTCAATCCCACTCAAGTTGAACCTTTTAAGCATCTTCCTTTCCTAGGTATAGGTATACCTATGCGTCCTAGGTATAGGGCTTTGCTGTAGGCCTTGGGGATTGAAGTTGGGGTGACGGGTATGGGATGTGACTGTAAAGTTTGTATCAAGTCTACGTCATGTCCCATTTCGATCTTCTTTATGTGTCCCCATCTCTTTATCCATGTGCTGGCTCTGCCTTCCCTGAATCCATGTCTGTGTGCTGATCATGTGCCCCTGTGTCTGTGTCATGGCTGTGACCATGTACTTCCTGACTTGGTGTCCACGCAGTGAGTCCACTCTGCACCGCTATGAGGTCCACCCATACGGGACCCTCCCAGTGGGTCCCGAATTCAAAACCACTCTTAGGGTGAGAAGCTGGAGGGTCCTTGGTATGAGCAGGGGGAGGGGGAGGAGTCCTGGGCAAAGGAGGGGACGAGTCTCTCTTAGATGTCCAGGGCCATCTAGGGTGAAGGGGAACAGATGAGGAAGGATCTTCTGTCTCCCACTTCTTCCCATTTCCAATCCTGCTCTTAGGTTCAGAACCTTGGCTGCTATGTGGTCAGTGGCCTCATCATCTCGGCCCTCCTTCCAGCTGTAGCCCATGGGGGCAATTACTTCCTGTCATTGTCTCAAGTTATCACTGACAATGTGAGTCTGGGCTAAGGGCATAGGGAACCCTGCCACCTCGATCTGGTGAACTTACCCAGCCCCCTATCTGCTGGGTCACTGCTCTCAGGGCTCCTCCCTCTGGGAGACCTTTCTTTTACACATGTGGCTTCTTTGGGGAGAAAGAAAGGGATTGCGCAGGGAAGAACCACAGAGCATGCATGGATAGTATGCTCCTGCTCAGCCTGGAGTGGGTGGCCTCTCACCATCAAGAGGGTTGCTCAAGTTGCATCTTCCTCTAGGCAAGCTGCGCAGTAGAGAACCTGACCGAGCCCCCAAGGCGCCCTGTGCACCCAGAGGAGTTTCAGCACACATACAGACTGGTATGAGTCGCAAGAAGGTGAAGGAGATATCCAGAGTGGGAACGCAGCAGGGAGCAGTAGATTTTGGAGCCTTGGGGCAGGAGTGGGGAGTAGGCAATTTTTCCACCCCAAGATCCTGATCTGTCTCTCTCTTCTGGCAGAACGGGAGTAACACTCGGTGTCAGGTTGTGAGGTGTCATCTTGGGCGACTGGCAAAGGGGACCGAGGTCTCTGTTGGACTACTGAGGCTGCTTCACAATGAATTTTTCCGGAGGGTAAATCTTTTCTTCTACTCTCCTCCTCCGCTCCTACCTGGAACTTTGGCATAGTCTTTGGAATAGACTCAGGTTCAAGTTCCAGGTTTGCCTCCTACGAGCTGTTGGACCTTGAGCAAGTAATTTAATCTCTCTCTGATTCTTTCTCTCTATCTCTAAAGTGGGGAAGATAATACCTACTTCATGGGGTTGTAAAGAATAAATGAATAACGAGATGGATTCCTTGTATTTTCCTCTGTTTATCATCCCTTGGTGCTATATCAATAATCAACATTTAGGGGCGCCTGGGTGGCTCAGATGGTTAAGCGTCTGCCTTTGGCTCAGGTCATGATCCCAGGGTCCTGGGATCAAGTCCCACATCGGGCTTCCTGCTAGGCAGGGAGCCTGCTTCTCCCTCTGCCTCTCTCTCTCTCTCTCTCTGACTCTCATGAATAAATAAATAAAATATTTTAAAAAATCAACATTTATAGGATACCTAAATTCAGCCAATTAATAATCTATCAAGTGCCTACTATAGAAAAGGACCTGTATTAGGTAGACACTGAGGAGAATATCCCCAACACTCAGCACCATGCCTAACTCATTATAGTGACTCAATACATTTCTCTTAAATGAATGAATAAATAGTCGATATTGTATGCATGATAGATATTGGAGGGTAATGGGAGGCAAGATTGTATAGCTGAAAGGTGTGTTCTAGGTTATGAAAGTTCTCCAAAGCTAGGAAGGTGAAACTGAACTCAATGCAATGGGCAGTCAGGAGTCAGTGTGAGTTTCTGAGCAGGGAAACGACATCTTAATTATAACGGCTGTAACAGTGACTAGGGGCAATTTACTTTGAATAGCACAAGCTCCCTGGGATGTAGGCATATTTTATGGGAAGCTTAAGTCTGAGACACCATCCTTCTCTAAGTCTGGTTCTCTCTGTATCTCTCCTCGGTATCCTTTTTTCATTCATTCATTTATTTTTTCAATAAAGCCTTATTGAGAGGGCGCCTGGGTGGCTCAGATGGTTGAGCGACTGCCTTCGGCTCAGGTCATGATCCTGGAGTCCCGGGATCGAGTCCCACATCGGGCTCCCTGCTCGGCAGGGAGTCTGCTTCTCCCTCTGACCCTCCTCCCTCTCATGCTCTCTGTCTCTCATTGTCTCTCTCGCCAATAAATAAAATCTTAAAAAAAAAAAAAAAAGCCTTATTGAGAAACCAGTGTGTACTTGGCACTGTGCTAGGCACTAGGCCCTAGAGACACATATGTTTATAAGACACAGCTCTTGACCTCAAGGATCTTCTAGTCCAGCGGTGAAAGACAGAGAAGTAAACAGAATATTATGACCTAATTCAGGGTGGTGGGGGTTAGGAGGAAACACTTCCCTAATTCCCAGAAGGGATGATGTCTAAACTTCAACCTGAAGGAGGGGTAGGGGTTAGCCAAAGAACGGGAGTTAAATAATACTGGGTAGAGCAAACCGCACACGTGAAGGGCCAGAGGCTTTCCTTCTGTTACCCTTCTGCTCTTTCTCCTTTGATCTCCAACCTTTTCTTCTGGTCTGGAAGATGCTGGAAGTTGTGCCTACCAGCCTCATCTTTGCTGTTGGGGTTCTAAGACCACACCACCTGATGATGGCTCATCTTCAATGTCTTCCACAGGCCAAATTCAAGTCTCTGACAGTGGTCAGCACCTTTGAGCTGGGAGCTAAGGAGGGCAGTGTCCTACAGCTGACAGAAGCCTCTCGTTGGAGTGAGGTGGGACCGAAGCCTGGGTTTGGGAGCCACAGAAAGAGTGAGGGTGGGAATGGGGCAAGGGCACCTGGGGGCTTTTTTAGAACAGAGGCATCCTCACTAGCAGGCAGCTGGGGAGTCAGAAGTGATAAATCAGGATGCTGGGCTCCCACTGCCTTTGTTCCTGCCTCGGTTACTTTCTTTTTATTCTTCTATTTTGAGGCTTCTATTTCACCCCTATAATGTGAGGTGAGGCTAGCTGGGAGAAAGGGTGCAAGTCCCGAACAGCTGTCCTCCCCATACAGAGCCTGCTGGAGGTGATTCAGACCCGCCCTGTCCTCATCTCCCTGTGGATCCTCATTGGCAGTGTCCTGGGAGGGCTGCTCCTACTTGCTCTCCTTGTCTTCTGTCTTTGGAGGGTAAGCACTGCTTTGGTGGGAAGTATGGGCCATGATGCCCATGAGTTGAGAGCTCCTTGAGTATAGCAGGGAGAACTGGATTTGTGCTGGGCGGCTAAGTAGGCTGTGGGTGTCCTGCCCGGATCTCTTTCACTATACTCTACAAATGTTGGTTGAATTAAACTAAGCCAAATAAAATAAACTAGAATCTCATTTTTGGAAGCAGAACAAAAGTGAAGATTTCAGACATATCTGAGGGCTGTTGGCAAGGTCCCCAGGCAGGACATTTGGTGATGACTCTTATCTCTTCCTCTACAGCTTGGCTTCTTTGCCCGAAAGAAAATCCCTGAGGAAGAAAAAAGAGAAGAGAAATAGGAGCAATGAATGTATAATAAAGCCCTAGAAAGTCCTCTTGGCAGCTTCTCCAAAAGACTTGCGTAAGAGCCATGGTCTGGGGGCTCAGATGGACAAGAAAAGCCTCTGGACTGTCTTCCCAGACTTGCAGACTGACTTGACTTTTGAGTCTTGAGCATGCTGCTGGCAAGAGATGAGGCCTTACCTCAGATGAGAAGGGCTGGCGCCCAAACCAGAAACACTCTCCCCCTGTGCTTCCCTCCTCATGATCCTGCTGCCACAGCCAACACTGGGGCCTTGGTTGGGGGCCCCCTTTTTCCTTATCCCCAGGAATCAAGACTTTTTTGCCTAGGTTCCCTGACTCCTTTTAGATTCCCCCTGATATCCTCCCTCAAATTTGGAAAGGATGAGGGCGATCTTCCTCCATTCCCTGCCTCTCACCTTCCTGCCTGCTCCCCACTCCACAGAAGGGAGCTGACGTTGGCTTCGAAAAGTAAAGTCAACATCTGCTTCTTTCCTGTGGAGTCCGGTGATTCAGAGAGCCGGATGGGGAGAGTCAACAGGAAACAAGGAGGGAGGAAGAAAAGCCACAAGAGACATTCTGTACAATTCCAAGGAACAGAGAAGCCTTTAGACGGGCAACTGCCATCCCCCTGAAACCTGAGACTTCGTGGTACACTAGCCCGCCCTCAGGTGCCTGGGAAACCGAGCTGCTCCAGGCCTGCAGGGCCTGGGTTTCCCAGCTCAGCGCCTTCCCTGGGAGCGAAGCCAGGGCCGGGTGCCTGATGCTCCGGAGCCAGGGGCCCCCAGGTGGCTAGAGCTGGGATAGCAGAGAAGAGTCCCGGTGTTTCGGTCCCGACCAGTGGAGAAAGTTGGATACCCTGGGCGGTGTTTTCTCCTCTCTCGGGCCTCACACACTCATGAGCCCTCCTTGGGGCTACCTTATAGAAACTAGAGAGAAGGGAGATGATTTCTCCTTGACGGTGGGAAACGCTTTCACCGGCTTTGGGAAGCAGCAGCTCCGTGGGGTCTAAACTAGTCAAGTCTGCATTGACGAAGAAGCCAAAGTGGGTGGCAGGAGGTCTCTGGGGAGCAAGCCCTTACTTGCTTAGCATTGGTTTTGTGGCACAAAGAGCTCCTAGGAAAATGTTTCTGGAGCAACTGCAGTCATTCCTGGTAGGGTGGAATCAGTTTGCCAGCCCTTGCCTGATATTTACTGGAAAGTTCCAATTTCTATCTCTGGGTCACCTCACCACCTCTCCTCCCATTTTGTGGTCCTGGCCAGTAGTAGAGCGAATTACCTTCTCACCAACGACTGGGTAATTTATATTTCTTTGTAATCAAGACTTTGGATACCAAAGTCTGTTATTGGTCTCCAAGGTGCGGCTCTGACAGCCATTTGAAGAATCCGCACCTGTTTCACGCTGAGAAGAGAGGAGACCTGACCGGGCAGTTGACCAGCAGCCACAGAACTTGTTCTTGAGGCCTGACCACAATGTTTATCTTGACATGTCTCTGGTCTTCTGCACAGAACGTTGTCTCTGTTTCCTAGCAGGGTGGATAGGATATCAGATGGTCAGAACAAATAAAGTTCAGTGTCAAATGACTTCTGGCTCTCTTTGAGTTCCCTAGGATATGGATAGCTCAGGCATGGTGAGAGGGAGATTCTTGGACCACCTGAGACCTATACAGTTGAGTTCCTGGAAGGCAAAGTTATAAGCTATTCGAAATGTTTTCCGTGACTCTCCCATGGAGACGTCTTCTAGCCTCCTGCAATCCTCACCTACTTAAGTGACTACAGAGTATAAATCGTGTAGGTTTGGGAAGCACATAGGCCTAGATTGAAACCCCAGGTCTGCCATTTATTAGCTGTGTGGCCTTGGGCCAGTCATAACTACCCTGAGGCTCAGATAACAGTAAGAGGCTGTGTGGTACAGTGGTTAAGAATGAAGACAGACTTGGGTTTAAATCTCAGCTATACCACTTTTGACCTTGGGCAGATTTCATTTCTTTAAGTCTTGGCTTTCTTGTCTTTAAACTTGCTAGGGTTGTGAGGACCAATGAGATAATTCAAGTAAGGTGATACTCAAGAAAAGTTAACTATTGTTATAAAAATATTTTGTTATAAAATAATCAATCTTCCTGTATATCGTGAGGATTAAGTCAGAAGGTATATCAAAGCACCAGGTGGTGCTCCTAATCTGGTGACCTACCTCCCCTTTACACAGGCCCTAAAGATTTGTTTCCCCTACGTGCTATTGTCTCCTGCCACTAAATCTTATCCCACACCTCATCCCCTTTGAAATAAGCCCTCATGCCCACTAAGGCAATAATTAGAAGGTTCTAATGGTAGAAATCAAGTCTATTTGATTTTTTTTAGACATCCAGTGTTTTTCTACTACCCTCAAGGAACATGTGCACTTAAGCAACAGCCTTAGAAATAAGACCATGTCTCTCTCTCTCTGTTGCCTAACTCCAAAAATGGTGGCCGGTCCGGCCAATAGGCCAGGACAACCGTTCTGTGGCAAACTGATGAGTTATTTGTGGCAGAAGGAGTCCATGGTGACCCTCAGTGCACTTCATATAAGCTATCGCTTGATCAACCTTTATGGAGCGTACTCTTTCTGATGTGGTGATGTGGACAGATCTCCCCTCTTTATTCCCGGTCAGCACTGAAAGGGAGATGGATTTCTTTGAGGACCGGCTCATTTAATTCCTTATCTGTGTGATTAAAAGAGCATTTTAAATATTTTTCCCCACCTAGAGATCCCTCTCTTCTCTCTCCTTCAGCTCCAGAGTGGGACTTTCTAACCCAACCTATTCTTCACTTGGGCCTCTTCCTTTGAAGCAGAGGCAGTTTGAGAAGCCACTGTGGAAACAACGGGCTCTCCTCAGACACAGGAGTGTCCCTTCCTTTCTGCTCATTGTTGCTTCTTCCTTCCCTCCTTCATCTTTCATTCATTCGCTCATCAGACATTAAGCACCTAACATGTGCCAGGCAATGAGAACAATATAAAATACAACTCCTACCATCAAAGAGCCCGGTCTCGTAGGAAAAACAAACCCGGAAATAAATAATGGCAGAGGTGGTTTGCTGTACAACCTAGCAGTAAGGATTCGAAGCGTGTCACGCACAAGGGGCCCACTTTTTAAAGCAGGGTTGTAAGGGAAATCTTTACAGAAAAAAAAGTGCCTCGAGGGGCCAGCAAGTGTGAGAGGAGGCATTCCAGAGAGGATTAATCACCAGTGGGGAAGGGAACTGTAGTGGATTAGAACAGCCTGAGCATTGGGCTGTTTGTGGACTTGGTGAGAGATGAGGCTGGAGAAGGCCGGGTGCTGCTCCTGCTGAGCCTTGTAACCACGTGAAGAACTCAGCTTTAGCAAGTAGGCTTTGGCTTTCGTAGGCCTTTGAGTGGTGGCTCTGGCCGCGGGGAAGACAGGATGTTGAGGGATCATTGAGCATGATGGTCAAGAAATAAATTTTTTTTTTTTTTTTTAAGTAGGCTCCATGCCCAACATGGGGCCTGAACTCACAACCCTGAGATCAAGAGTCACATGCTTCACTTACTGAGTCAGCCAGGTGCCCCAAGAAAGAATTCTTTAGACATTGTATGGTACAACTGAGTAAGTTTTGGTAAGTAGCACAGGGACAGGACCCGGGGGCACAAAGAGCTGCACTTTTGCTGTATGCAGCTGGTGGTTATATGCTTAGTGCTCAAGGGGGAGAGGACGTGCCGGGAGGATCAGATCATAAGTATTGACTTCAAATTTCTACTCGTAAAACTACCTTTGCAAGATTTCTCTGGTGATTATCATTCAGTTCCATATTAACTATCAGTGAAATTTACAGGCAGTGATGAGACCCTTTAAGAATGTAGCAACCAGCACGCATTTGATCCATACTGAAACTATGCAGGCCATAGGTGAGCCTTTGGGGCTAGAGGTGAACATGTTTCTGCTTCTGTCCCTCATCATTTCCCCCTGACCATTCTTCGGTCCTTAAATATTTAAGGTTGTTGGGGCGCCTGGGTGGCTCAGTTGGTTAAGCGACTGCCTTCGGCTCAGGTCATGATCCTGGAGTCCCGGGATCGAGTCCCGCATCAGGCTCCCTGCTTGGCAGGGAGCCTGCTTCTCCCTCTGACCGTCCTCCCTCTCATGCTCTCTGTCTCTCATTCTCTCTGTCTCAAATAAATAAATAAAATCTATAAAAAAATAAAAAAATAAATAAAATATTTAAGGTTGTTGAAAGGCAAAGGGCTCGTCTTCTGTAACTTCTTCAAGCTGACAGGGGTCGTAGAGATGTCCCTACCTATGGACCGAAACTGGCCACCATCTGTCCCTACAAGTAACTATTACAGAAGGCCACTGCTGTAGAATACAGAGGGTACATTGGGGTGAATTTGTTTTGAGTAGTAAGGCTCATCTTTGGCTGGGCAAAGGAGTTGGGAACTGCTTGCATGTATCTCAACAATAGGAGAGAACAAAGCCAAAGAGACAACATATTAGGATTCATATTATAATAAAAATAAAAAGTGTGATAAAGAAGACCCTTTAGGGTGGACCACAGTCCACCTCCTGACCAGGAATTTAACCAATCATTAAGGCCTTTAAGACAATGCAGAGTCTTTAAGAGCACTGACTCGGTTATTTATATCAGTAAGTACTCCTGTTATATTTTTGTTATAATCTGGAATATAGACACAACCTTCTACTTTAATAATGGCACATGTTGCTCCTTGTGCTGCTGTTAAGACATCTAATGCCATTCTATTTTGTAGAAATGTTTTACACATTTGAGTCACTTTAGTGTTTAATAATGTAATGCTATTTGGAGAGTCATTTAAGGCCTTAATTGTGTACTTATCGAGGGCCTCCAGGTGCCATATGACATCTTTTTCTAAAGCTACTGATGGAAGAAAAATAGATGTCAGATGGTCATACCCATGGAACACGGATCTTGTCCATCATTGTTTTAGATACGGAAGATTAGCTGGACTGGTGCTAGTCTGAGTGCTATGGCCGTGAATCTAGGCATAACCTATAGTACATCTCCCGGTCCAGCCTGGTGGAAGCCATGGCCACAGATTTGGCCCACATAACCACTGTGTTCCATTAGGTGCTAGCCATCTGACATCTGGTCACCTTGACTAGTCAGTAGCAAGTCAATGGGTTGCCTGTAAAATAATGGTAAAGTCACAGGCTTCTGGTGGTGGGGAGGGGAGGGGAGGAGAGCCATCCTATTTGGCAAATACTATTGGACCATGAATCAAGTATGGTTTTTCTGTTCCCAGCATAAAAGGGCCTTTTGGCTTAGTTGTCCTATTGTGGTAGTAAGCCATATATATATCCATCCCATACTTGATATAATCTTTCCTGGGTGTCTTGATAGGAAAGACTACATACTCAGGGAATTTGTTGTCATGAGCCTATCTGTGGGTTGGCATATTCAGTTAAAATTTTGGTAGTTTAAAGGGTGCCTGGGTGGCTCAGTCGGTTAAGCATCTGCCTTGGGTTCAGGTCATGATCTTGGGGTCCTGGGATCGAGCCCCGCCTTGGGCTGTCTGCTCAGTGGGGAGTCTGCTTCTCCCTCTTGCTCTCGCTCTTGCTCTCTCTCAACTAAATAAATTAAAAATCTTAAAATTTTTTTTGATAGTTTGAGGATAAGAGAAAGGCTTCTTATGGCCTGGAGAGTCCCATGTAACATTTACCATAGGCAAAGAAACATTCTCTTTAGTAGTAGAAATATCCCTATATGTGCTGGTATTGGAGTGACTTCATGTTGGATTTGGTTAAAGGTGGCCACTGCATGCTTGCCTTAGGCCTCTACTTGTAATTTTACATCTATAGAGGTGGCTCCCAGGACATATATGACTGAGGAATAAAACCATTTAGAAGCCTTCTTTGCCTGATGTCTAGCCTTACAATATCCTAATTATGAGGAATCACTAGCAAGTGAGAGATGACTTGTCTTGGGAGATAAGGGCATCCCCAAGTGCATTCTCCAATCCAATTATAGGGAAAGTGGGGCCATCCATTATCTCCACAAGTTTATAGTTAATCCCATAGAGTGGGGTACGCTTTGACTTTTAAGGAGTGATTTGTTATTCCAGCTACATAGAATAGATCAAGGTGACAGCTGAGTTACACAATTGTTAGGGAGTCCATCCCATTGTCCAGGTGTTTAAATAATCATATGTCCATGGGGTCCCTTCTATTATCCCCACAGAGTAATAAGCAGGAAGACTGTCTATACATGAACTATTATGGCAATCTCTCTGAAGTTTACCTCAAGTTGTCTAGCTTAGGCAAACAACAAATATTTAAAGACATTTAATCAAAACTACAATCTAACATCCAAAAGGATACATTATTGAAACACAATCTTTCTCTCTAAATTCACCCTTATTTCCATAGATAGCCAAATCAAGACTAATTTGGTTGTAAAACCAGTCCAGTTTTAACAAACTTGGCCTCAGTATTTACATAAGCTCAGCAAGAATAGTGATTAAACATGTAAGTTTGTTTTTTTTTTTTTAATTTGCTTTACTGGAACTTTTCATAAGGAATTTCCAGATTGAACTTTTAATAGCCTCCAGAGGCCAGAGCCAAGCCAAACTGTTGTCATCAGACTTACCTGCAATACCTGTAGATTTGGGTATATTCCTCTTCTCGAGGTCCCCCAAATATCCTGAGGTTCCTGCACTTGCCAGGAGGTGACATTCTTGTGTTTTGTTTTGTTTTTTGAGATTTTATTTATATGAGAGAGAGAGACAGCACAGAGGGAGAGTGAGAGGGAGAAGCAGACAGCCCAATGCAGGACTCGACCCCGGGACCCTGAGATCAGGACCCTGATATCAGGACCCAAGCCAAAGGCCAGACGAAGGCAGACTTAATGGACTAAGCCACCCAGGCACACCAGGAAGTGACATTCTTTACTCATCTGGTAAGGCTGCTGGGAACTCTGTGAACAAGGTATCAGGCCAACATTTCCAAGGGGCTCTATTGGCTCCATAGTCAACCTTAGTTCCTTAAAGCTGTCTCTGCATGCCTCTCTCAAATATGACATTTCAGTCAAAGCCTTGGTAATATAACCAATATTTCCAGTGGTGTCCTGTTATAAGGAGAACAGATTCTTATTGAAGTTATGCAAATAACTGTAATTGCCATGGAAGAAAGAATACTCATTAAGAGTTTCTGATTTCTGGAAGGTTTGGGTAGGGAGAAAAATTGCTTCAATTTGTTCATAAAAGAATATTTTATCATATTCCTGTAAGTCATGGATATTTTAAGAGAAAACATTAGAGAACCAGCAATGTTTCAAATAAGAGTCATAAAAAACTGTAATCTTCTTCCTCAATTCATTCAGTTCTATGTTGTTAATTTTTGTTCTGTTTGAATTCAGCTTTCCTCTTAGTCCTGGAAATTCTTACCCAGTTCAATTTTATGATTTTAAAGATATCAAAAACCTGTATTTGTTAAAAGTCCTTTTTATGAATCTCCTTGAAGACAAAACTCATTCTGTAAGAGCATCAGAACAAGAACTGTAAATGACAAAAAACTCAAAAATAGACAAGGTTGAAGATCTGATATGAGAGTTCATTATAATGCAATTGATAAGGAAATCGGTTATTTCTGTGACACATAACACTTTAACAATTAGAACGTCAAGTGATGACCTTATACCAAAACATATTAAAACTTAAGGAATTTTGGGGCGCCTGGGTGGCTTAGTCAGTTAAGCGTCTGCCTTCGGCTCAGGTAATGATCTCAGGGTCCTGGGATCCCTGCTCAGTGGAGTCTGTTTCTCCTTCTCCCTCTGCCCCCCACCTCATGCTCTCTCTCTGTCAAATAAATAAAATCTTAAAAAAAAAACAAACTTGAGGAGTTCCATATAATTTCTAGAACAATTATAGCATTTACCCAAACAATGTAACCTATGGCTTATCATTAGTTTGACAGTGCTTCTGGAGTAACTTAACATACCAAATAAACAAGCCTAATTTGTCAAAAACTTCACTTACCATTTAAATCTCAGGAAGTGGGGCAACTGGGTGGCTCAATCAGGGAAGCATCTTCCTTCAGCTCCAGTCATGATCTCAGGGTCCCGGGATTGAGCCCCGCATCCGGCTCCCTACTCAGTGGGAAGCCTGCTTCTCCTTCTCCCTTTGCCTCTCCCCTGGCTCCTGTGCTCTCTCTCTCAAATAAATAAATAAAATCTTTAAAAATAAATAAATAAATAAATAAACAAATCTCAGGAAGTTTGTTAAAAACCTTAGAAAGTTTTAAAGCACATATCTGAAAAGAATTACAGATCATTATAAATTTAATATTTACATTTAACCAAGGTGTCAATAAGGGATTCTACAGGAAGCAATATAGTCGTTAGCAAAACTGAGCTCCTTTAACATCGAAACCTTTTAACTTTCTTAAGTAATCAAAGACAAAACATAGAAGCTTTGGTTTTTTTGGGCTGACAGAGGAAGAAAAGAGAAAAAAACTTTGTTTACATTTTCTTATCAAGAGCAGACCAACAATCCAAGAAAACTTTGTCTTTTTAACAAAGAGAAAAGGAGAATTTCAATCTTATACCACTGTACTTTTAAAATCCATTCATTTCAAGCTTAGTCCTGACCGAATGTAAAATTCTTTCCCAAGGGAGAAAAGGTTATATAAGAGGATTTCTGGTTGAATGATGATTGTAAGCTTTTTGAGACCAGGAGCCACATGCTATTCATCTTTGCCATCATAGAAATCATCTGTCAGGTACAGGTGGGGCATGAAAGGAGGCCGTGATCAACAATGTGGCAGGAGGCTGTCAGGAATAAGCTCACAGCAGAGGCTCCATACCTCCATACCATCTATCCACCCAACAACTGGGCTGAGAGAGTCATAGTGTCTACACTGCACCCGTGAAGAAACTGAGGCTCAGGCTAAGCAACTGCCTGATGCCATACATTACATGTAGTGCTGAATGTGAGACTAAAACTTGGATTTGTCTGGCTCCAAAATCTCTATGCCTTCCACAACAATAAAAACTCAGAAGAGGGCGCCTGGGTGGCTCAGTTGGTTAAGCGACTGCCTTCGGCTCAGGTCATGATCCTGGAGTCCCGGGATCGAGTCCCGCATCGGGCTCCCTGCTCAGCGGGGAGTCTGCTTCTCCCTCTGGCCTTCCTCCCTCTCATGCTCTCTGTCTCTCATTCTCTCTCTCTCTCAAATAAATAAATAAAATCTTAAAAAAAAAAAAAAAAAAAACTCAGAAGAGACAGACAAAGGAGGACTTTCACAGAACTGTAAAAATTGATCCAGTCACCAGATCATGAGATTAGTCAGAGCCCAATATGTAACCTTGGGGTTTTCTTTCTCATCTCACTCTTACAGCGGCCTGCACTGATGCTTTTTGATAAACATATGGCTTCCTTCTTATTCTAGAAAACACTGATTCTCAATGACAAAAGATGCATACTTAAGCAAACTAAGGATTATTCAGTAAACACTA